TGAGAAGTCAGATAACCTTTCCATCCTTTCAGGAAATGCAGTGACATATGAAATGTACATTAGAACATTCTATAAGAACAACGGTGAAGTTGGCATAGTGTCAGCCACGTCAAGTAAAGAATAATCTGGTTGTTGATGCCCTATACAAAGTTCAGAACAAGACAGACAAAGACATGGGTTAGTCAGCAGTCCTACTTGTGTACTATGGGAAAAATCTGCCACATACAGCTGACAAGTCAAAAACAGACAGTTCCGAGAAACACAGAACATCCAGCAACTACACACCAAGCTAAGTGAGGCAATCTGTCTCCAAGAGTGGGTGATGGAAACCCATAATAGGGAATTTATCAAAAATGCAGACAAAGGTAGCAGTTTTGATAGTGGATAAGGTGTTCCCAGAAATACCCTCCTGACAAAGCTTGTGAAACATGCTCAGATACCATGCACACTGGTAGCACCACCTAAGGCTCGCAGGAACACAGCATATAAACACAAAGAGAGTTGAAAAACCATTACAATGCAGTCTCTTTACACAATGGGCACTCTGAAGGCAGCTGTTCAGTGCCAATCTGGCCAAGATCTCCTACTCCATTTCTTTCCACCCTTTGCTCAGGAAGGTCATTCTGACCTACTGCTGCACAGACCCTGTTTTGTGGCCTTTAATCTCCTGTGTTGTTTTGGAACACATGCAATCCCAATAGTTTAGAAGGGAGAAAAGGGTGTTAGCATTGCACCTGGCAGCATTTCAGCAGCGTCAGGGACACGGTGTTTGTTTGACATGAACAGCATGTGTCCAGTTAATAGAGAACAGCCCAGGCTCTCCCACAGACATCAGTGACAGCAAGCCTGGGGATAGGGCTTCTGAAAAACACTCCACTGCTTCTTATATACCCACAACATGAGTTTCAACATGCAAGAAGACCTGTGCCTTTCAGACTTCTGACTCACACCATCATCAACAAGCAGATGTCCCAGAGACCAAACCCTGTGGAAAAGCACAGCGCACCACAGAGTGAAGCCAGTGGGTTGGCCAGCACTGCACAGAAGTCCCCACAGCCCACCACCAACCTGACTGCCTCCTGTCAGAGCAGGCACAGATAATGTTCTTTATCATGGGTGCCACAAGACCAGTTATTAGCTTCAGTCAAAGGGCCAAACAAAGGCCGGATGGCGCTTTATCCAGCGCTTAGGCTGCAGCCAGGAGTGGTATCTCCAAACAGCACAGGACTCCAGTTATCTTTAAAGAGTAGTTTTCCTGTAATCAACAGCTCTAATCTGTGCATGGAAAACTTTTGTAAGTGGTTTTATTACACATAATTAGTTAGCTGATAACAGCTTGCTAAAGTTGTCTTTTGAGAGTCACTTTTTTTTTTTTTTTTTTTTTGCCTCTCCTCCTTCCTCTTACTTCTTCGGGAAAAACAGCATCGTTCAGGTTCTAGCAAACAGCGAGACCTTTGAAGATCTGACCCTTATTGTGTTTGCCTGCTGGAGGTGATCTCTATTATGAATTCTTCAGTGACTGAGCTTCTGGAAATCTCTTTACATGAAAGCAGAACCAGTTAACTGTCTGTACGAACATGTGTTTTCACAGCCTCTCCTGTATTACTGCATCTCACAAAGCTTCTATTAAGTGCCAGGTGAACTTTTTAAAATAATAATAATAATAATAATAATAAAGAAAAGAGTCTTGAAAGTATGAGCAAATGTCAACCATTCGGTTCCTGTTCTTAGGCTGGAAACTAGGAACAGATGGTACTTTCCATGTTACTTGAATCTGGTTATTGAACACCTCTGTGGTTACAGGAGATTTTGCTTAGCACTTTTAACATACATTTCATTTATTGGACTATAAAACGCTACTTTGGAAAAACAAGTCTTTATATAGCTATAATTAAAACAGTCTTGCAGCAAGCCCCTTTAACGCGGAGAACACGGTTAACCTCGTGACATCTGGATAATCAATTCCTTCCCTTTTACTGGGTATTTACGAAGTTATTAAAATTGTAAAATTACCGATGCTGAAGACAGGCGCTTTCCCAGCAGCTCCCCACCAGGCTGCGGGCTCCCAGCGCTGCCTGCAGCCCCGCGCCCGGCCCGCCAGGCCCAGCAGGCTCCAGCCGCACCGCTGCAGACGCCCAGCCTTATTGCTCCACAGCAGCCAGATCCCCAGTGCAGCTTTCAAAACAGTTTGCTGTCAAACAACAATAGACTTTGTTCTTTAATTGAAGCGGGTGACCCGCTTGCCCTTTTATTTCACAGTGAATAAGCTACATCCAAGGCCAGCCGGGACAGCACATGAAAAGCATATCTCTGTCACATCATTAATCAAAGCGTGTACTTAAATGATTTACATCAGCGGGCACAAATCACAAGGCCGCCCGATGAAGCATGGCTTATTTTCAGTCCTGCCACAAGGCGCCAAGGCGAGACAACGCCAGCCAGCACGTTTATCTCCTTTAAACAACCAAATGAGAAGGAATATGCCAACACAAGAGGGACATTCGCTCCTGAGTGTCACCAAGCATTCAATTACAAGCCACATCTCAGCACCTCGGGCTGCAGTTCCAGATTTTCCATATTATCTTCATCAAAGCACACAGATCTCTACACTCCAAATACAACCCCTCCGTACCTCAGTTAGGCTGTGACTGCTGCAGACCCCGACCTTCCCCTAACGCACACAAAGTAAATGGCTGTAGATAAACAATGTAGCAGCTGTTAGAAATACGGAAATGCGGCTAAAAAGAGGAAGATTTGTTCTTGCTGACAGACAGTAACTGTGCTAAAAATGGCAGAGCATGGATAAGGGATGGAAAATGGAAACAGGTTTTAACACCAAGAACCTGAGGAGTGGTTAGCCTACCTGTCAAAGCTACTTATTCAGACATGTCACCAATGGCTTAACCACAGAATGGGCTGCACGAATGTAGTTCAAACATCTGAGAATTACAGCATGCTTTGACTTTATCCACATACCAGGGGAGTGGCAACTTTTACAACATATTTGCGGTTTCTGCATTAAAAAAAAAAGCCAGCAGAACACAGTCACTGATTTAATTAGGCTTCGTAAGATCAATTTATCATGTTTTACACAACTTTCCGCAGCAAAGAAACAGAATAAATAGACCAAAAATAGACACTGAAGCACGCTGTGAAAACTAAGCAGTGACTGCAAGTCCTGGGAATCCGCTCCAAGCTTTTCTCAAATAGTAAACAAATGCAGCGTTGTCTTTCACACCACATACAAAAACCTTTGGATTTTCACTCAGCGGGCATTAACTCCTTTCTGTCTAGTAGGACACATCCAAATTCATGAGACGTGCCTTTCACAACATGATGATAAATGGACACTGATTTTTAACATGCAAGGCTTGAAAACTATATATTTCCAGATACAAGGTGCTTTGTGCAAGTGATGCATACCCAGCTCCAGCCAAGGCGAGAACAAAAACAAAAAACCCATAACGATAAACAGCGCAGTGCACTGCGCGGCATCTGGCACGTATGTGTATCCTTCGTGCGGTCTCCCGTGTGACCCGAGAGCAAAAAAGAACACAAAAACGGGAGAAACCACACTGCTCTCTAATCGCTGTTGCCATGACAGCAGCCTTTGAGATACTGCAATGTTCAGATTGCCAGCTAAACAAAATTGTTGAATGTGAACATTTGGCTGGAAGATTAAAAGGCTAAGGGGGTTGCAAAAGGGCAGTACCTCCCACATTCCAGGCAGCCACTGAATCCAATCAAACGGCTCTGACTCCTTAACCACAGCCATTGTGAGGACTGGATTAGGGCAATTTATCTAGATAGTTAAAACAGATTAGAGAGCTGCAATTTGAAGACCATTGGCAACAAAAGCAAATGCCTACTGTACTAAGTTAATAGAGGGAGCGGGAGACTTTGTGACACCTTTTCACAGTGAACAGAACCTCCATAAATAAAAGTGCAAACGTATACGTATGAATTACACCCGTTTGCCTCTCTTCTCATCCGCGTTCAGACAAGGTCACAAAGGCTCATTCAAATTCATCCGTAGACACGCTACATTAAAAGCAGTAACACGCACACAATGAGAAATTCACGTTATTTCCTGCTTCGAATGCAAGCCCTTGAAAAATATTTTCGGATTTTTACTGGTAACTCCTGTCACAAACACACAAATCCAATCCTGGAAAGTCGACTTGGACGCTACAAAAAACCTTCAACACCTCAGAAACGAGAGAGCAGCACAGACGGGCGCTAAGGAAAGGTGACTTCTTCCCCGAGACCTCTGCCCTGCCGACACTCGCAGGACGCTCCGTCAGCGCGTTTTCTCAGCGGCGCCGCTCGGGGAGCGGCACGAGCAGACGACGCGGTACCAGCAGAACTCCGGGCCACCCGGCACCGCTCACCTTGCCGGTGCTTCGGGCACCCCGCCGGCAGCCGCGGGCCCGGGCCCTCAACGCGCGGGCAGGGCAGGATGCCGGCACCGCGCCCGCCCTCCCCCAGAGCGCGACGGTGGGCATTCGTCGGGGAAGCACCCTCCGCTACGCCGATGAAGGAAAGCGCACACCTCCTCTCGGCGCCCCTCCTGCATGTCACCGCTCGGCGCACCGGCGGCCGGACCCGCAGGATTCGCAGAGTTCCGCGCCCCCCACCTCCCCCTCTCCCCCTCTCCCAACCCCCCGCCCTCGTGAGGCCCGGAGGCCCCGCCCGCCGCCGCCCGCCCCGCACGTCGGGGCCCGTGGCGCCGCGCACGCCGTGCCGTCGGCGTCCCTTGTCCCCAAGGAAGGAGCCCGCGTCCCCGTCGACGCCTCCCGGCGGCGCTGCGGACGGCCCGCGCACACCCGCAGCCTGACACTGGCACTGCGTGCCGGGCGCTGCGCGCGGTGCGGGACGGACAGGTGCCGCCGGGAGCTGGGACGGGCTGCGGGGCACCTTGCCGTCGGTGGGGGAAGGACGGAGGTGTGCCACGAAGCAGTCCGTCACAAACGGGGGGATGGAGAGGAGCTTTGTCCTACCTTTTCTGTCTTCAATTTCTTGACTCGCCTGTGGCTCTCTTCCTCCTCCTCTTCCTTTTTTACCAATATAGAGTTCCCCATTAACCCTGAATCCGGGGCGCCTTTGCTAACTTCCCCAGCGGCAGCGGTGCAGTGGAAGGAGCTGCCGCTCCCCCCACCGCCCTTGGACCCGTAGCCATAAAGGTGCCCGGAGGGGCCCTGTCCAGGGCCGCTGGGGGGGCCCAGCTGCACGTCGTGCTGCTTGTCCTTCCGGGACTTCCCCGCATCTTTATCCCGCTTGGCGCCTCGGCTGCCCTGGTTTTTACATGGTTTCTCTTCCTTGTTTTTCCCAGAAGAGGCAATGGCGGTGGTGCTGCTGGTGCTGTTATTATTGCCGTTTGGGTTACCGCTCACGCTTTGACCCAGTGCTGAATTCATGCCAGTTGCCTCTCCAGGGCGCCCTTGGACTTCCTGCCTTTTGCCAGCACTGCCGATCTCAGGAATCCCATACAAGGCAGCAGAAGGCAGAGATTTATTAGAATCCTTAGAAGTTTTACTCCTTTTCACTTTTGATTTAGTAGTCTCTTTGTGAGAGGAATTCCCGTGGGGAGCGGAGGGCTGAACAGAAGCAAATTTTAGGCCATCAGCTAAGGCTGAGGTAGTATTAGCCCCACTGGAAGCCAGAGCCCCACAATCCTTGGAGCTGGTGCTGCTGCTGCTGGTGGTATTGGTAGAATTACTCATCTCAAATTTTTGTCTGTCCTTCTCCAAATCTGCGTCCAGATCAATTATTAAATTCCCAACACCGATTTCCCAATCATCGCCACTGTCGTAAGTGTCAACTGTGTTTGGATCCACACCTTTTCCTGTACTGGAAGTGTTCAATGACATCCTGAAGATGAGATCTCTAGAGTAAAAATTCGATGAACTTTCCTTTGGAGGTGTGGGGACATTCGTTTATCTCCGCTGGGCTTTTCTAGATTTAATTCTTCTCGTCCTCCTTTTCCAGGTGTGTCTGGGTTTGTAACTTGTGGTCCACATCCACCTTTTCCTGTGAGGAGAGGAAAAGTCAAACATGTTTTGTCTGAGTCTTATCAGAATATAACACAACTAGTAAAAAAAAGGCCAAGGCGGGGGGACTGAAATCATTTGCTACCCACATTTTTTTTCCCCCTTAAGTTTGTTAAAGCAGAGGCAAGAGCTGTCATGCTTTCACAGTGAGCATCCTTAACCTACTTGTCTCCCAACATCCTCAAAAGCCACATCAAGGAAAAGGGAAAAAAAAAGAAAAAAAAAAATCCATTAGCTAGGTGATTTAAATCCACAAAGCTCAGGAAACGCAGCCTCAGAGCTGGTGCCTAGCTGTGGGAGCACATGTTGTAATTTAACCCCAGGACCACCACCTAGGCACCAGAGGCAGAAAAGGAAGTACACAGGCTCTCTCTTCACCACATTCCATGGATTTTGTGGCTTTAAATCAGACCCTTGAAGTTTTGTGTTATTTCTGTATTATCTTTTTACTCCTTTTTGTACTTAAGCCCCTATTTATTTATTTATTTATTTATTTATTTGGAGGGGGGAAGAGGAAGTCGAGGGAAGAGAGAAACCTAATTTTCCTTCACACAATACGGTTTCTATTAAAAACAACCAACCCGTAAGCACAAATGAAAAATATCAAAACCCACAGTTAAAAAAAAAAGAGGAAGAAAGAAAAGAATTAAGATCTTTCTTAAGAAACATCAGCTCAAGATTACAGTCCTACAAGCAATTCTAGCAGTCACACGATTGTTAGGTCTGTTAAATACAGTATTACTGACTGTACAGGAAACTGATTAAGACATACACTTTAAGTGATCTGCACCAAGGTGGCCTCAGTGACCGCAAATGAGTGTGTGTTTGACAAAGCTCAGTTAAAACGATTTTTAAAGGGATCTCTCCCTTTTACAGCCGCTTATCGAAATATTTATACATAGAGATGCAGAATGCTTACCTTCAGTCCTTTATCATTTTTTTTAATTAAACCAGCAAATCAAAGTGCTGTTCCCACTCGTCTCAGCAACAGCTCTGTGTCTCATTTTACTTAGAGAGCAAGCGATCACGCAGTAGGCAGCAAGTACCACGCAGCCCGGTCAGTGACACATCTCCCCTACTTTGGCACTCGGATCAGAGGTCCTTTTTTGCTTGTTTGGTTTTTCCTCCTCGCTTACAAAAATAATTAAAAAAAAAAAAAAAAAAAAAAAAAAAAAAAAGATGCTGCTCCTCACTCACAGCTCTGCATGCCGGTAGGCAGCATTCACTGTCAGAACTGGAGCATCAGGTTATTTTTGTTGTTGTTGTTTTTGTTTGGTTTTTTTTTTTGCTGTTTTTTTTGTTGTTGTTGTTGTTTTGTTGTTTTTTTGTTGTTTTGCTTTTTTTTTTTTTTTTTTTTTTTTTTTGCGCGCGCGCCTGTTTTGCTTTCCTGAGTAAGCACGGAATCGTAATAATAGTCACAGTAATTTAAAAAAATAAAATAAAAATGTTATCCCCAACTTCCCACTCCATCTTCAGCCCCGCGCTCGGAGCCCGCCTGAGCAGTGAGAAACGATCCCGTGCGACAGCCCACAGGCGGCCGGGTGTTACCGGCAGAATGTGCTAACATCGGGTAAATTAGTGAAAGGGAGGAAGGGAGAAAAGGAGAAGAAAGGACTGAAAATCCGGGCTGGATTCCGCCCGCTCGCTGGGAAGTGGCATTTTTTTCGCCCGTCCTGACAGATCTGATTTCTTCGAGTTACTTCAGGGGGCGCGGGGGCGGGGCGGGGAGCGCCGTGCTGATACCGGGAGGGGCCGGAATGGGGAGGGGGGGCAGCGCGGGCCGCTCGCCCCCGGCTGCACCGTACCGACAGCGGCGCTCAGCAGCGCGCTGCGGTAATTGGAGCCCGGCGAGACGCAGCCGACGACCTTTTTTCAGGACAGGCCGCTCCCCCCTCGTTGTATCCCGGCGAGCGGCCCCTCCCCCGCTTCGCCGGACGGCGCGGAGCGGAGCCACAGCGCGGCGTTGTTAATTAGCGGCGGGGGGAAGCCGAGCGCCTAATGAGCCGGCGGCGGCGGCGGCGGCGGCGGCGGCGGGGGGCGGGGCGGGCCGCGAGGCAGTGCCGCCAACCCCCGCGGCGCTGCGGTTCCGTTACCGCGCGCCGCACGTGACCCTGCCGGGCGCCATTGGCTGCGCCGCGGCAAAGATGGGTGGCGGAGGCCTGTGGGCCGCCCGTCCCGCGGAGCCGCGCAGGGTGACGGGCCGTGCGGCGGCCCCGCTCGCCCACCCTCCCTACCCTCCCCGCTCCCGCCCGGCCGCCGTGCCGAGCTGTGGCGGGCCCTGCCCCGTTGCACCCCCGGGCAGCGCGCCGTCGGGGTACGCGCGCAGCCGCGCGGCTGCCCTCGTGCTCGCCGTGCCCGGGGCCGCTCGCTGCTCGCAGCGGCCGCCCTGCTCACTGCGGCTCCCAACGCTACCCTTGGCAGAAAAATAATAATAATAATTAAAAAAAAAAAAAAAATCACCCCCTCTTCGTGCTACAGACACACCACGCAACCGTACTTACGGTCTGTACTGGATGGAGGTGGCCTGTTCCTTCTAACTGCATTGGGTGTGTGTTTGTTGCAGCCGCTTTTTATTTTTGGAAAAAAAAAAAAAAATCTAATGTCTTCAACAGATTTATTGTATTGGGAAGAAGAGAGCACCAGATACCATGAACCTTCCTTTCTTTCTAAAAAGGAAAATTAAAAACAAAAGCGCGGGGAGGCCCGGCCGCCCCCCGCACGCACGCGCGCACACACACGCACGGGCCCGGCGTGCCCCCGCGGCGGCCGCGGAGGGGGAGTGGGACCAGAGCGGTACCTGAAAGGGACTTTTCTTTGTTCAGAATGCCCCTTCCCTCCCGGCCAATGGGAACCCAGCTTTTATGAAATTGGGCCTTCCCATTGGCCGCCGTTCCTCCTGCCTGCCGGCGGGCTGTAAGGCAGCGAGGCGCACACACGCGGGACGCGCGGACACGCGGGGCACAGCGCGGGCTGTGCGCGCATCCCCGCAGCCCTCGGGCCGTACCGTGTGAGCGCCAGCTGCAGCCGGCCGGCTGCAAATCTCGCTTCTCGTTCCAATTTGCCTCCTGTAACATTTAAGGCTTAAAAAAAGAAAAAAAAAAAAAATAGAGCCGGGGGGGGGGGGGGGGGGAGGGGAGCGGGGCCAAGACAGAAAACCAAGGTGCAGAGTCGCTGTGCCAGGATTCGTTCTTTGAGAGGAAGACTCTCATTTTGTTTTAATTTAATTCCAAGGCGGCTTACGCGGCGGTGATGAATGCTGTTCCCGTGCCGCTTTCGGAGGCGGTGCGGGAACAGCTCGGCGCCCAGCTGTCCCTCGCTTGGAGTCCGGCGGGCTGGGGCTGCTACACGTGCTGCCTCGGCAGAAGCAGCCCGCGCCCACGGCCGTGCTTTGGCTTGACAATATGCCTTAAGTTAGGCAGGTCGGCCTTTATTAGTGGTGTGGGGATTTTTTTTTTTTTTTTTTTTTTAGGAAGGAGAGAGAGTAGAAAATAACCCTTTTGTTTCCAGGCCCCTGATTTACTGCCGCACGCACTGAACTGTGAACGCCGGCGACCATATAACTACCACGTGAACATCCTTTCACAGGAATTAGTAACACAAATCTTCCCAATCGGGCTTTGTGTCGCTCGAAAATATCCCCCTTAATCATCCTCTTTGTTTAGCTGGGGAGCCATTACGCCGCACCTCCGCCTCAAATTGCGCTTAACTCTTCGTTGCCCGTCGGCCAGGCGGTGGGGACCCGGCACGCCTCGCACCTCGGGGCCAGACTCACTGCCCCTCGACATTTCCCCGAGTTATCTCTTCGGGAACACCCGCATGTCTCCGGGCCTGCCGCCGGTGCGGGATGCCGCCTGTCACCCGGCAGCGGCTGCGGGACCTGCAGAGTCCGGCGGGGTGGCTGGGCTTTGTCAGCCCGCGTATCGCTGCTCCTGTTTCGTTATGATATGTATTTTTCAGATTTAGGTAATAGCCCTGATTTTTCAATATCGACCTCTGTTTAGACACGTTTCACTTTGGGCTGCTGCTCGTCTGCGAAATTACAGTCATTTTCACATTATTATCCAGCGAGTAGGAGACGATTTGCATTGAGCGCCGAGTGGGGGAAGGGGTGATGGGAAGCGATCTGCCACTGTTAGAACATCATTCCAGACCGAGTAAAATCGCTGCCAACAGATGGTCTGAGTACGAGTCGAGGCGGAGCCGCTGGACGAGGGGGCAGGGATACCGTTGCCCCACGGCATTACCGCCCGTCCGGAACTGGTAGCGGGGCCGGCGGCGGGCACGGCCCCTTGGCTCACGTACTTAGCAGCCCCGCCGGGGGTCGGGCAGCTTCCGCACCTGGCTTCGGCCGGCCCGCTCGCCCGTAACCGCTTGGCAAAAGGGCGACGAATTAGAGACGTTTGTCTAAAATGGGAAATCCGGTTCTGATTAACGCGGCCGCGGACTGCTAACAATCCCAGCGAGAACCACCCCCCACATCTCGCCGGACGCACGCATCGCGTAGGCTAGGAAAAACCACGGGCAAACATCTATTTTCAGCGGAAGGCACCCGAGGCCCCAGCCGCGCCCCGGACAACTGGCATCACACCCGCGCTGAGCCCAGCATTCTCCTCCGCTGCCGCGGCCCGGCTATCGAGGCTGGCAGGGCCGGCACGGGGACGCGCTCTCCCCTGCCGCGGAGGCGCGCCTCTCTCCCTGCCGCCGCCCGGGCCGCGGAGGCAGACAGCCAATCAGCGCCACAGAAATCGCTTTCGCGGCCTCTGATTCGTTGAGGCTGAGAGCCGGCGTGCGGCCGGCCGCGAGGCGCAGGGAGCCCGAGTGCGGGCTGGAGCCGCTGGACGGGCACGCGCTCCCCAGGCGCGCCTCCGGCTGCCGCCCTGCCTTGCCCTGCCTTGCCCTGCCCTGCTGCTGGGCGCGCGGCCGAGCCGGCCTCACCGGGTCTGCCGGCGGCTGGAAACACCGTGTGATTCTAGCAGCGATTGCAGCGCAGCCGTTATCTCCTTTATGCAGACAATTTCCTCCGACGGCACCCTTTGTGACTGAGTGTCGCGTGCGCGTTGGTGCCGGTCGCACCTCAGGGCTGCTGTGATCGAAACAGCGTTTTTTCATTCTCTTCCGTATTAAGGGAGAGGGCAAAGTCCTGTTTCTCTTGAGGATTTATTTACCAGGTTAATTGGGTGAATGGCATTGCCGCTGCACGTAGCGTTTTGCAGACATGAGCATATTTAACAGCAGTGCGTTGGAAACGATCACATTGATCCGACCATTTTGGATTAGCAGACCCTTACAACCCCCGGAATTCATCACAGCCTGTCCTGCGGTCCTCTTGGTCGCTATTTTAATTGGTGTGTGCGAACCACTGGTGCTGCAGATTCGTTGTGGATAATTTATTACAGTCTCACAGCCTGCCAGTGATCCATAAACTGGAGTGTGGGAATTGGCGATACAGACATTCATGCACTTGGCAGATACTTATGTTAGATACTATTTTATTCTATTTTATTTTTATTTTTGAAGAGGGCATTGCTAACGATGTTTTCTTCCTTAGAACAGTCTGTAGACTCTCTTACCTTTATCTGCGTATTCACGGGGTCTCTCAGTTTGATCTAAAGGTCAGTTCCTCTGATGCTTCAGCACAGAAATATAGTTACGTCTGGAAACAAAGTACCTGTGTAGTGTTTATAGACAGCACCAAAATATCACCTGAGAACTAGCATCTGGAAGAAGGAGTTTAGGAAAACCCTGTGTGTTCCTATGGGGATAGGGACAGTCCAAAGGTACACCTGATAGAAGCTGCCTAAATGCAAGAAGGATAAAAATAAAATAATAATAATAATAAATCACCAACTGAAGATAAATAATAATAATAATAAAAATACTAACAAAGAAATCTTCAGTGAAATAAATGGTGTCTCAAAACAGGTTCTTCCTTTCCATCATGTGGAAAGCAACAGAAAGTGAATACTATGGAGAATAATTCCATTCTGGTGTCAGAATGGACTGACTGATATGGTGATTCTTTCCCATTTCCTAACTCGCAGTTCTGTGAAATTCTGCTGTAGAATTTGTACTACAAACCTTTGACCCAGACATTAATGTAGCATTCAGCTCTTTATATATTCAATTTCTCCTCAAGTAATTCAAACAAGAGGTTATTTATTTATGTAGAGCAGTGTAAACATTCAGATAATATTTAAAAGCATGTATTTCTCATTAAATTGAGTGTGATAAGAAGCAGGCAATGCATGTTAAAATCTGTGTTCCAGCCTT